CACGCACACATACTACAGAATTCACATTCACCAACTCATTCACATACGGCATTAATATCCTTTGTAAAACAGGAGCATTAATGAGGCTGGAAGTGGCGCGTTGCCGCGGAGACGAGAGGACGATGTCCCAGAGTTCACACTGGTTCTTTGGTTCAGGACCAGAATAAACAAACAATAGTGGCTCAGTGCCTCAGCTTCACGGGACATCCCACACAGAAACCAGAGAGGGACCAGAGAGAGGGACCAGAAAGGGACCAGAGATAAGACCAAAGAGAGACCAGAGAGAGACCAAAGAGAGAGAGACCAGAGAGACCTAGCGAGAGAGACCAGCAAGAGAGACCCGAGTGAAAGACCTGAGAGAGAGACCCACAGAGAGAGAGACCGGTGAGAAAGACCTGCGAGAGAGACCCAGCGAGAGAGACCCAGCGAGAGAGACCCAGCGAGAGAGACCCAGCGAGAGAGATCCAGAGAGAGAGACCCGGGAGAGAGACCAGCTAGAGAGACCAGAGAGATGGGAGACTGTTGATGTCACAGTTTCCACTGTTTTGCATATATTCAAATCCTCTGACGCCGTCAAAGTCCTGTTGGTCAAGAACCGTTGCTTTATTAAAGTTATACTTGATGATGGTAGTAATGGGTTACTTCAGTCCAGTCCAGTCCAGCTGCACTAACACCAGTAACAGACTTTGAAGGAGAGAGAGAAATGGAAAGGAGAGACCCACTGGTATAGGTTTCACTGGGGTTATGTGAACTATAGAACGTAGGGAATTCCTGTACGTTTCCTCAGTTTCAGTTGCTTTGTGTTGCTGGTTTTGTTGTGGGTCATGTTTCCTGGTGCCATTCTGTTCGGGACGTCCGGTCTTTAAAGTCTTTGAAGTCGTGTCAGATACCTGCCCATTGTTCCTCAAATCTGTGGAACATGCAGGAGATGAGTCACATGTGTCTCTATCGTGTCTTTAAGGACTCTCACAGTAAAGTCCCAGTCTCAGTCTCTCCACCTCATGGACTGGTCCTGCTCCTGCTACTGCTCCTGCTCCTGGTCCAGCCCTTGGTTTGAACTGGTTCTAATCCTGGTGTTGGCCTAGGTTTATGGTGGGATTAAGGATTATTTATTTGACTTTAAACATAAATACCTAGAGTGAGTAAAGCTTTTATGACTCCACTGTTTTAGTGACGGAGGAATCCACAGATTATGACCTCGTGATGAAAGTTAATGGAAATAATTATTGAATCTTGCCATTCTCCAAGTTCTGTTTCAACTGGTCTTAATGGTTCATAATAATGAATAAAAATGAGGCCATGAAAATGTCCTGTATTTAATATCTTCATGTTTGTGGTCACATGTTTGTGAGACTGAGCTGTACTTCTAAGAAGTTCACATTTACAGAAACTAGAGTCATGTGACCAACAGTTCAATGTCACAGGAAGTGACTTTCACTGAGGTTTCTAAATGGAACTCTTCTGTCAACAGGAAGTGCATCAGTGCACCTACAGGAAGTGCATCAGTCCTGGTTTAGACCTGGTTCAGTCCTGGTCTGGTTCAGCTGTAGCCTGGTCTTACCATACCAACGTACTCATTTGTAGGGAAATGATAACTGACTGGAGTTCACGGATGGTAGTCCAGGCTAGTTCAGCTGTGAAGTGGAAGCATTGTTAGTACTGGTGTCAGACATATGGTGTTTAAGACGTCAGAGAGAACCACAGTCTCCAGAGTCTATTATACTACACCCTAATATTCCTCTATTTGTGGTGCCTCTCTTCGCAGCCCCAGTGCATGATGGGATCTATCTGCAGCTTCAGTGCATGATGGGATCTCTCCGCAGACCCAGGCCACGGTTCATGAGCTCTCCGGTTCTGTCGGACCTGAGTCGGTTTCACAGCAGCTCCACAGCTCTACAGCTCTCCAACACCAGGGTCTGGAACAGGTCTGAACGATACATACATAGTTCCCACAGACCAATGAATGTCACATGACCTCCTCGGAGACGCCATCTTTGATGGCACGCTGCTGTGTTTGTGCATTCCATTAAACAGAAGAATGAGAATAAATGTAGATATTCAAACGCAAATTGGAAAAAAAAGGGCAACTTTTGAGCAAATAATTGTATATTAATACAATGGCACCACAGTTTAACATGCTACGGACATGTTTTACATATTTGATCAAATTATGCAGCAAAAATTAACAAGCAATGCAAACATTTCTCAAAAACTTTAGATTTAATACCAGTTGGAGCTCCATTTAATTATTTTAATTATATTAACAATTAATTTAATTAATGCTAATGCCACACGGACACTCTGGATTGCTGTTATTGTTTATTTCCGCGTTTTTGACCGTATGTTTTGGTGAATGGTGGGCAACTGATTTTTCCAGGCGTAAAGAGCAGTTTATTTTATGACACAGATCTTTTTACAGAAGCAATGCTGTTTGTGAACATTGTTTTAGCCCACCATAGAACTATTATTATCTATTTAATACATTTACGTTGCCCTCGAGAGCCTCGGACGCGACACCGATCCTCCTCATAATAAAGTAATCTAACGCTAAATATTGAAACTCTCAAGTTACCAGATATCAGCATACACAAGTTAGTACTGAGTAAATTACGTCTGTCAACACATTATAAGATACGATACGCACCTGACACAAAGTGCTCCGAGCATATTCTTGCGTGTTTTGAGGGAGTTTCTTGCCTGTTTATCTTCGCAAGCCATAACCTCCGTGGTTGTTCTGACAAAAGCTTAGTCTTCTCACATTCATGAAGTCTAATGATGGGTATACTGTAAAATCCAAGTTTAACGGAACCTCCGGCACGATTTGAACATCCATTGACCCAGCAGGAGATGACCATTTTCAACTTTATCACGACATTAACACGTTTCAGCTTCTTTTTCTATTGTTTTGCCCACAGCATGCCAACACAAATGGCGCCGGGTCGGCAAATCCCCGTATGTAGTGACGTCATGTGGGAACTATGTATATATTACACATGATATATATTATCAGATTCAGATGCAGTTTATATTTACAATAAAACCACATTCAATAAAAGATCACACAAGTGCTTTGTTCAGACTGATGACAGCTGAAAGAAGCTCTTAGACCCAGATGTTTTGCAGCCAACAACAATATATCATTAAAGGTCCCATATTATGCTTTATGACTTTTCTCTGCTTTAAACATCATTGCAGTGCTATTTAGTTGTCATACACCCTCCCTCAAGCTTTAGTTAGAGAGCGATCTTTCTCTTTCATTCTTGAGAGGTAGAAAAACAACTCTATTCAATCTGGAACCTCTCTGAGCCTCTCTGAGCCCAGCGTACGGTCCATAGACTGTACATATTACTATGGCTCTGCGCTGTGCTTTTTTGTGTTAGCATCATGTGACTAAAGTGTTAGCATCATGTGACTAAAGTGTTAGCATCATGTGACTAAAGTGTTAGCATCATGTGACTAAAGTGTTAGCATCATGTGACTAAAGTGTTAGCATCATGTGACTAAAATGTTAGCATCATGTGACTAAAGTGTTAGCATCATGTGACTAAAGTGTTAGCATCATGTGACTAAAGTGTTAGCATCATGTGACTAAAATGTTAGCATCATGTGACTAAAGTGTTAGCATCATGTGACTAAAATGTTAGCATCATGTGACTAAAATGTTAGCATCATGTGACTAAAGTGTTAGCATCATGTGACTAAAATGTTAGCATCATGTGACTAAAGTGTTAACATCATGTGACTAAAGTGTTAGCATCATGTGACTAAATGTTAGCATCATGTGACTAAATGTTAGCATCATGTGACTAAAGTGTTAGCATCATGTGACTAAAGTGTTAGCATCATGTGACTAAAGTGTTAGCATCATGTGACTAAAGTGTTAGCATCATGTGACTAAAGTGTTAGCATCATGTGACTAAAGTGTTAGCATCATGTGACTAAAATGTTAGCATCATGTGACTAAAGTGTTAACATCATGTGACTAAAGTGTTAGCATCATGTGACTAAAATGTTAGCATCATGTGACTAAAGTGTTAGCATCATGTGACTAAAGTGTTAGCATCATGTGACTAAAATGTTAGCATCATGTGACTAAAATGTTAGCATCATGTGACTAAAGTGTTAGCATCATGTGACTAAAGTGTTAGCATCATGTGACTAAAATGTTAGCATCATGTGACTAAAATGTTAGCATCATGTGACTAAAGTGTTAGCATCATGTGACTAAAGTGTTAGCATCATGTGACTAAAGTGTTAGCATCATGTGACTAAAGTGTTAGCATCATGTGACTAAAGTGTTAGCATCATGTGACTAAAGTGTTAGCATCATGTGACTAAAGTGTTAGCATCATGTGACTAAAATGTTAGCATCATGTGACTAAAGTGTTAGCATCATGTGACTAAAATGTTAGCATCATGTGACTAAAGTGTTAACATCATGTGACTAAAGTGTTAGCATCATGTGACTAAAGTGTTAGCATCATGTGACTAAAGTGTTAGCATCATGTGACTAAAGTGTTAGCATCATGTGACTAAAGTGTTAGCATCATGTGACTAAAGTGTTAGCATCATGTGACTAAAATGTTAGCATCATGTGACTAAAGTGTTAGCATCATGTGACTAAAGTGTTAGCATCATGTGACTAAAATGTTAGCATCATGTGACTAAAGTGTTAGCATCATGTGACTAAAATGTTAGCATCATGTGACTAAAGTGTTAGCATCATGTGACTAAAGTGTTAGCATCATGTGACTAAAATGTTAGCATCATGTGACTAAAGTGTTAGCATCATGTGACTAAAATGTTAGCATCATGTGACTAAAGTGTTAGCATCATGTGACTAAAATGTTAGCATCATGTGACTAAAGTGTTAACATCATGTGACTAAAGTGTTAGCATCATGTGACTAAAGTGTTAGCATCATGTGACTAAAGTGTTAGCATCATGTGACTAAAGTGTTAGCATCATGTGACTAAAATGTTAGCATCATGTGACTAAAATGTTAGCATCATGTGACTAAAGTGTTAGCATCATGTGACTAAAATGTTAGCATCATGTGACTAAAGTGTTAGCATCATGTGACTAAAGTGTTAGCATCATGTGACTAAAATGTTAGCATCATGTGACTAAAGTGTTAGCATCATGTGACTAAAATGTTAGCATCATGTGACTAAAGTGTTAACATCATGTGACTAAAATGTTAGCATCATGTGACTAAAATGTTAGCATCATGTGACTAAAGTGTTAGCATCATGTGACTAAAGTGTTAGCATCATGTGGCTAAAGTGTTAGCATCATGTGACTAAAGTGTTAGCATCATGTGACTAAAATGTTAGCATCATGTGACTGAAGCGTTAGCATCATGTGACTAAAGTGTTAGCATCATGTGACTAAAGTGTTAGCATCATGTGACTAAAATGTTAGCATCATGTGACTAAAGTGTTAGCATCATGTGACTAAAATGTTAGCATCATGTGACTAAAGTGTTAGCATCATGTGACTAAAGTGTTAGCATCATGTGACTAAAATGTTAGCATCATGTGACTAAAGTGTTAACATCATGTGACTAAAGTGTTAGCATCATGTGACTAAAGTGTTAGCATCATGTGACTAAAGTGTTAGCATCATGTGACTAAAGTGTTAGCATCATGTGACTAAAATGTTAGCATCATGTGACTAAAGTGTTAGCATCATGTGACTAAAGTGTTAGCATCATGTGACTAAAGTGTTAGCATCATGTGACTAAAGTGTTAGCATCATGTGACTAAAGTGTTAGCATCATGTGACTAAAATGTTAGCATCATGTGACTAAAGTGTTAGCATCATGTGACTAAAGTGTTAGCATCATGTGACTAAAGTGTTAGCATCATGTGACTAAAGTGTTAGCATCATGTGACTAAAATGTTAGCATCATGTGACTAAAGTGTTAGCATCATGTGACTAAAGTGTTAGCATCATGTGACAAATAAATGTTAGCATCATGTGACTAAAGTGTTAGCATCATGTGACTAAAGTGTTAGCATCATGTGACTAAAATGTTAGCATCATGTGACTAAAGTGTTAGCATCATGTGACTAAAGTGTTAGCATCATGTGACTAAAGTGTTAGCATCATGTGACTAAAGTGTTAGCATCATGTGACTAAAGTGTTAGCATCATGTGACTAAAGTGTTAGCATCATGTGACTAAAGTGTTAGCATCATGTGACTAAAGTGTTAGCATCATGTGACTAAAGTGTTAGCATCATGTGACTAAAATGTTAGCATCATGTGACTAAAGTGTTAGCATCATGTGACTAAAGTGTTAGCATCATGTGACTAAAGTGTTAGCATCATGTGACTAAAGTGTTAGCATCATGTGACTAAAGTGTTAGCATCATGTGACTAAAGTGTTAGCATCATGTGACTAAAGTGTTAGCATCATGTGACTTGGAGTACTTGGTGTAAATATGTGACGACAGTATTTGGCCCAAAGACGAATAATTAAGCGAATGTGGCTCAACTTTATTCATCTTCATGTTTCTGAAATCCACTAAGAATATGTTTTTCTCTTAAACTTCATCAAAGACTGTTTCAGAACTACAGTTACCATGAAACTGGACTCACTGGGTCTGATTTTGGATCGAGGACACAAGGCTGTGTGTGACGGATCAATGTTGGAAAAGTTCATTCTCGCCTGAAATGACTCTGTACCGACGAAAGCTGAACAGTTAGCTTTTGCTGATTTGTTTACCTCGAACTTAGCATGACGCTACGTCACCACTCGGGTTGGGGAGTGGAGCAGGGAGGAGCAGGGAGGAGCAGGGTGGAGCAGAGGAGCAGAGTGGAGCAGGGAGGAGCAGGGTGGAGCAGGGTGGAGCAGAGAGGAGCAGAGTGGAGCAGAGTGGAGCAGAGAGGAGCAGAGAGGAGCAGAGTGGAGCAGAGAGG